TTTTTTTTTTTTTTTTTTTTTTTTTTTTTTTTTTTTTTTTTTTTTTTTTTTTTTTTTTTTTTTTTTTTTTTTTTTTTTTTTTTTTTTTTTTTTTTTTTTTTTTTTTTTTTTTTTTTTTTTTTTTTTTTTTTTTTTTTTTTTTTTTTTTTTTTTTTTTTTTGTTCTCCCCTGGTGAGTAAATGCTTATCAATTACAAGGAAGTGGGTGGAGTTAGGGCGGGATAAAGGGTAGAAATCACATTATCACTGTGAGTATCTGTGGTGTCAGGCTTCAGAGAGCAGCAGCCTTCGCCTAGAGATAGCTTTGGCTCTTAGAATGTGTGATTTTTATTTGCCTCCGTCTCTGGAAGCTTGCTAGAATCTCTGCTACTGATGAGCATATATTCTCAGAAAGGCAACTGGTTGGCATTTTGGAGGAGTAAGAATGGAAGAAAATAGAGAGGGCCATGGCCTTGCAGAAAGCAAGATTTTGTCTCTCTGGATGATTTTGTTTGTGACTTTAGTTTTGTTGCCTTCAATATTCCGAGTGTCCTTGGGAATTTCTCATTTTTATGTGAAATGTGTAGTAAAAATATTAGAGGTAAGTTGAGAATTAGATTCAAAAGGTATGTGTTTGCTACAGGACATGTTTAATAAAAATCTGTACATTTTATATAGAAGCCATAAAAGTCAGCAGAAAGAATTCCATTAAGTTGGATGTGTTGTTTGAAGTTTTATTTTACATTATAGTCTTTGAGTGGTGTCTTTAATGATATCTAGTTATGTGGTGGCTTATATATAATCTGCTGCTGGTTTAAGGTTTTCTTGGATTAAAGTAGAGACTCCATGACCTATTCTAGTTCAAGCTAGTTAAAGTACTTCATGCGAGCAGAAAACTTATGATAAGTCAGATTTAAAGAAAAAGATGTATTAGTTTATGGGACTTGGTAAGTAATAAGAACATGTATTTTAGATGTACATAAGATTCAGTAGTTTTATTTGGGTTATTTTATTTACATGGTATTAACATTCTAGGTAAGAATATTCACTCTGTGTGTTGCTTCTTCCAGATATAAATCTGGGGGATCCTGCAGTTACAAGTTCTGTTGTACGAGACTTGAATCTGTGCAACCTTCTAAAAGTGTAATTTTTCTAGGGATGAACAGACTATGGCTGAGATCCTGATTCTGCTGCTATCAGTAAGAGGTTTCTGGGTTTTTAAAATAAGCCATAATTCCATTTAGTTTCTCAAGTTTGACTTTTCATATCCATCATTAGACAGAAGTAGGTGCAGTGAATTCATCATACTGAACAGTGAAGGATTTCCATTTTCCAGTAGATTAACTTTGTGCTTCTGGCACAAACCTGCTTTCTGTGAATACACTTTCAACTTGTGGCAGAAAACACATTACTAGTATTGTTGCTATAATTATTATTAAACTGTTGGAGTTATCTATTTGTGCAGTAGAACATGTCTGTAGCCATGTGATATAGTTCATATCATGACCATCTTACCTTGCCAATTCTGTCTTTTCTCCTGTCCTATAATTCTTCTGTCTCTTTTTGTTTATTTGTGTTTGTGTGTTTGTTTTTTATTTTGTTTCATTTTAGTACTGGTTAAGAGCTCTTGGGCAGGATCTATCTTCAGCTGTATGAACAACATTTAGCATAGTGCACAGGACAGCAAAGTTTAGGGTTACTTGCTTTTTCAGATACAGATGTTAATGGGAAATGACTGCCTGGAGTGGCTATATGTAATATTGGCCTTTACATGTGATATGATTTTTAATCAGCTAGTGCTATGCTAATTAAATTCTTCTTGGTACCTTCTTAGTACCTTATCTTGTTGGCACGCTTATATCAAACCTGAGAAGGTCCTTGGACAGATTTGCTGCTGCAGTCGGCAGATATTGAAAATAACATCTGTATTTTTCCCCCACCCTGTGCATTTTCCAGCTTTGAGGGATGTCTGACGCACTCAGTGTGTGCTTCATATAGGAAGGCACTCCTCTTTCGCAAAGCACATTAGATATTTCTCTTTCCACAGTTTTTGTAACAGGTTATAAGCATGATAATTTTGTGTTCACAATGTGGAGGATCAATATATCAAAAAAGAAATAATTAAGTTAATTGTTATGTGATGAGGTGCAGCCTTTTATATCTAGTTCCCTGGGGCCACAGCACCTAATAGCAGGAACAGCACAACTCCACGCACTGCAGTTCAGGCTGGCTTGTTTTGTGCTTTAGTTCAAAGTTACTCCTTAATTGTCTGACAGACCAAAAAAAAGAGTTTCCTCTGTTTTCGTCTTACAGGTAATTCCACCTATTTTCTTTGAAGTATTGTTCAAATGCTTCTCATTATGCCAAAAGAGTAACTAAGAGCTATTTTGGGGGGAAATGGGAGGGAGAGAGGATGGAGAGAATTTTAGGTCACCTTTGCTTGTGCTGTGGCCCACTTGGCTCTTTGCAAGGAAAGGTAGGACTGGGAAATGCTGGGTTAAAGCTCATGCATGTCATTGCTGGGCCTATTCTTGAAGTCCTGGGGTTCATTCCTCAGAATATGGCCAAAACTGCAGACTTGGGGTACAGTCAGCTTTAAAGCAGGCTTCTATGCGCCCCTTGTTCAAGACATGAACAACCTGACATTGAAAGCCCAGTGAAGTGCGGACTGATTTCCAGCTGTGACATTATCTACCTGAAATACTGCTAATGTGGTAATGCACAGAGACCGACCGTGGTTCCTGTTTTTATCCGGAATGGCGAAACAGGATGCCTTACTGGATAGCTAAGCTGAAAATGCTAAGAGCAGATGCTTAGTCATATATTAGCACACTATGGATTATATTGCAGGAATATCAGTGCTTTAGAAAGTACCAAACAACTGGTTGAGGTTTCAGCAAAAAATCCAACCTTGAGCACTACGACTGGATTCTCCATTGTGTTGCATTTTATTTAGTCTGTTATGTAGACCAGCAGAATTAACAGAAAACTTCTCACCTGGCAGCACTTTATATTTGTTTCTTACAGCTGTAAATGGCAAATAGGGAGGCAGAGGGAAAACATGTTTTATTTTCCTCCATGTTTGTCAATTTGAGGAAACTATAAGAGTAGAGACTGAAATCAAGTCAGAAAATATTTTTCAAAGAAAGTATATTTGTAGCCCTTTCTGAATTTGCTGGGAGCAAAAAAAAAAAAAATTATTTTAGAATAAAGCTCAAGTTTTCAGATCTATTACTGAGCATTGAGTAATGGTGGCATATGTTGAGATAAGTCAATTTGATTTCTTGGCTTCACTGAAGTGTTTTAGCACTGTGAACAGTGACTGGAACAAATGGAAAAAATGTAATCGTGTATGGAAATAATTGGTACCTTCTGCTGCTTTTGCATCAAGGAATCTAGATATTAGTTGTTTCAGAAAGAGAAAAAAAACCCCTTTTTCAAAAGCAGGATTCAAGGTTTGAAAATTTGGGGGGTGACAGGTTTTGTTTGAGTTTTTTTTTTGATTTTTTTTTTCCCTTAGGACATATTAATATAATAGCAAAAGATCTCCAATAGAGGAATTTCTCAAGTGCATAACTATTAGCCTGTAATAATTATTATTATCCTTAATTTATCCTTAAAATATTTCTGGAAGTGATAATGATGAATGTGGTTTGGTTTCTGATAGGGTTATTTTTTTCCCATATGCTTGTAAACTTCTATTTGTAAATAACGTGTTTTCTCTGAGTTTGTCTTGTCTAAATCAGGGTTTGATGGAAATGACAACACTAGCAAAGCTATGCTAGGGATGTTATTCCAGCTGTTGCAAAAGAAAATGCCTTTGCTAGGATGAAACGTACACCATGCTCTTGCAGTCCTGTGGAGAGTCAAAGAAACATGTTGAACAGCTGTAGCTCTATTTGCTCTGGAATTTTGAGTTCTGAAGTTTTGTATGAAATTTGAGCACTGTTGTTTCTTCAGAAATACATGTAGGAAAGACGTCTAATAATTGTGAATAGTGTTTGAATTGATAGCTACACAGAGGTAGCTAATATGCTGTAAACTCCCACTGGAGTATGGGCAGATGTTGCTGACACTTAAACTGGTGAAAGAAGCTCCCTACTGTGCTTTCAAATAGCTCAGCTATCCTGACTAGCCTATGCAACAAACCCCAAATAAATTACGGCTGTGCTCTTATCCTAAACAAATGTTTGTGACCCTTCTCAACCTGTTTCATCAGCCCTCACTAAAGCAGGCAGGAGATTTGTGAGTCCTTTCCACAGTCTGATGGTAGACAGTCTCACATCCTCTCAGACATGCAATATAATACTCAGATCATTTGATATGGGTTCTTGGTTTTGATGTGAAAGGGAAAATGAGGCCAGATAAAAAGGACTGTTGGATGAAAAGGTCCCAAGTTCTCTATCTTAGATGATGATTTTAGTTTGTGCTAAAAAAACTACTGACCTCCTTGCCATTGTATTGGAAGACTTTATGTGGAGTAATTGCCCCAAAGCCTATGAGAATAGGATTGAGAAAAACCACTGTAACGAATGACTAGAAAAACCTCTTGTGAGAACATGGGAGAAGACGTAGTAAAATATGGGAAGAGATGCAAAACTGAATTATTACATAGTATAGAAAAATGGAGTACTTTAAATGGAAAAGGGAGGAAAACCCACAAGAATCCCACAAAAAACACAAAAAGTGAGATTTCGTAAAATGAACATTCCATATTGTATAGCTTTTCCTGTCAAGTACTATAAAGAAAGTAATTAATATAACCAAGTATTGGGCATTCTTATTTTGTTTAGAATGTAATTACAGGAAGCTCAAACAAATGGACTGTTTGAGTTGAGCTGTCAGGTCTTCAGCATTCCATCTGGGATCAACCACTGGATGTTTGGACTCCTTGTGTCCTCATCACTTCAGAAATGGCAGTGAGGAAAGCACAGCAGCCGAGTTCTTATTCAGTCAGCAAACTTAGCAATGAAGTTGCTACATTTAATACTTAAATTCTGTGTTAGTTGCAACATCTGTTTTTTTTTTTCCTGTAAGGCATTTAAAACATCCTTTCATTACTGTTTTGCAACAAAGACCAGCATGACAGCTCTGTCTCAATACTGTGCAATACAAAGGTGATCACAAAGACGTATTTAATTTTTAAAAACAAATTATACGTACAGATGCAACTGGATGCAGAACAACATAGTAGCTACTCTGCTGGGTCAGTCCAGAGTTTGACTCAGACAGACAGCTTTGACAGGCTTCAATTCAACTGCTTGATTAAAAGCTAGGTGGTTGTATGGTCATATTCCCTCCTCACTCCTTGTTGCCTCGGTTTCCCATGTCAGTTCATGAGCTGGTTTCCATCCATGCTTTTTTTATAACTGCTCCCATTTCAAACTATCTCTGGTGACATGTTCTGAACAATGAACTCACAATTGTGTTTTGTGGAAATATATTGCCTTTTTCTTGCTCATACACTCTGCCCAGCATGTTTATACGGTAAACCCCAGTTCTTGTGTTAGAAAACAGAAAACTGTATCCTTATGCACTTGCTCTGTGCCAGTCCAGATTTTGTAGACCTCTGTCCAATGCCATCTTGGCCGAGCTGACAAGCCCTCTGAAACTGTTCAGTCCTTGAAAGCTCCTCCTCTTCTGCCTTGTCCCCCCGTCTTTGTAGCCTTGACTATTTAGTTACAGCCACTTTCGTCTCACTCTTTCTCTGTCCTATGAGTCAATACTTATATTTTACTAGTAACTTGCATAAATTTTTGTTGGTTTTGACTTGTCTGGCTCATTTAAATTAGTTAACATATATTTTGAGTCAGCTTGGTCAGTAATTTTCACCCTTTTACTATCTGGCAATCAAAAGCCAGCCTCCTTGAGGCATTCCAAATCCTTCAGGACAGTATGCGCAAGCTCATTTCTGGCAGTGCTTGCTGGCTGTAGGAGGACTGTGACAGGCAAGATAAGGGTGGTAGACAGGAGATAGGAAAGCAGAGAGTAAGGCAAAAAGGCTTTATTTGTCAAGCTCAGTGATTTTTATTTATTTTCCTCTCTCATGCCATACAGCCATCCTAAAAGAATATTGGGGAAGGGGTGAGGACCAGCAGTACATTATAAAGAGGTTAAATTTGCCACATGTCTGCCTTTACTCTCTTTTGCAATATTCCTGTACCTGTTCTATATGTTCTTTCATTTCTCAGTGTGTGGGCTGCTATTTTCATGACATCTCCTGGCTCCACAATTCTGGCTGACTCTTCATGTGTTGCAAAAGATTGAGACAGGTGATGTACCAGTTGACCTTTTCAAGAGAGTAATTGGGAAGTACAGACAAGGTGAAGGTCTGTGGTATGGTTTGTTTGTTTGTGTTTTTTAATTATTTCTTTTTTTGGTTTTGTTTGTTTGTTTGTTTTATGGTGCTACAACAGATGGTTTGCATGGAGTTTAAAATACCCCATCAAAGCCTATTCTGCTTTTACTTTTTTCTTTTCTTTTAAGATGGCTGTTAAGAAAAAGTCAACTAAGGGTAACTAAAATATCCTAATTACGCATTGGCAAAGTGTCCCTTTTTTTGCTGACTTTAATGCTACAGAAGGAGCTGGTAGAGAGCATGCAAAACTTTAAGGTGGCAAAAAAGCTAACTGATGTTGGCACATGCAACACACTGTAATGTAGTGAAGACTATTTGAGATCAGCTTTGTGGTGACTTAAATGGCTGCACACATCAGTAAGAAGGAAATACAGTTTAAGCAGGAGTTTATCCTGGAGCAGATGGATTATCCCTATTTGTTGTAGATGGGTAGCTTTAATAGCAGGTGAAGGCATGAGTTGAGTGGGTCATGGATGAGCAGAGCCTACTCTCAAGCATCCTGTGTCCTTTGTTAGGCCAGATATCTTGACATAAATACAGAAAGATCTAGGACTCACTAGAGCTACTATTTATATATGTATGATGAAAACATTCAAAATATGACAACTTGAAAAATTAGGCATACTGGTATATTTGATTTTGCTAATGGAGAGTTTTATGATGTTCTGCACAGGGAGGAGAAACTTGGTTTAGCTCCAAAAGGGTGAAGACAGGGAAGGGTGAAAACCCATTACCAAAGCTACTTCTTCAGAAATACCATGGACAGAAAATGTTGCTGCCTTTGTTTTCTGTTAACAGAAACCACATTAATGCCCTAAAAATGAGGTAATCTCTTTTATTCGTTAAAATTAATTTTTTTTAGACCTATTTTTTCAGCATCTCTCTAACGTCAGTGATAGTATTTTGCAAAACCCTATTGCCTGAAGCTAACTGGAGAAGAGAGAGTTTTGGACCCATGGATCTCATAGTCTCTCAGGGAGCTTAGTAATTTGTTGAGCCTCCAGAAGAAAAACAACTGTGTCCTGAAAAGAAGTTTGAGCCAAACAATTTTTCCTAGAAATGGAAAAAGATAGCCTGTGTAACAAATGAAACAGGAGGTGAGCAGGACAGCCTTCAGGCTCACTGAAAAATGAAAATCTAAGACAGGGTAGGAGTAAAAGAGACTCAGACAACTCACCTAAGGTAATTACAGAATGTCTAGAAATGATGAAATTAAAACCATCAACATCTACTTTTCTTGTTTTGGGAACAGTGGGCCACCCTGCAGATTGAGGAGGGAGTAAAAAAGCAGAAGACGTTGGCACTTGAAAATTTAATCTCCACTGGTAAGATCTCTGGATGAAGGGGGCACAGCACTATTCATCTTGTAAAAAGGAACTGTTTAAAGACCTTACTTAGAAAGGACTTTGATGGGCAAATAACTGTTGAAGTTACAAAGCTACAGAAGGATGTTATAAGCAAGATAATCTGCCGATTATTGAGTCTTCTTGAATAAAAGAAGCAAGAGACTAATATAGAAAGACATTGCTGATAAGCATTTGGGAAGCTGTCCCTGTTTTCATAAGTATTTTGTGCTTTCTGACTCCATCAGCTCTCTCTTTACAAGATTGAGAGGAATGAGTGTTCTTTGCTCTTCATGTTGCTCTGCATGGATTCTCTTCTGTTTCTTGTAACTTCTTGCTTGCAAAAAACCCAGGGTCTCTCAAGTAAAGGAGCTACAGCATTCCATGGATCACAGTTGAATTTTGCGTTTTTGTCTAGGCACGAGGACAAAATCAAAGTAAATTTTCCCCCCCAACTATTTTTCCTTTCTTCTTTGACCAGAGGGGAGTGGGTTAAGTTCTCATGGTAATCCTTTTCCTTGTAGTGTCACTTTTAGTCATTAGTCATGTAGACTGCTTGGTTTCTCAGCTAATAAATTTTGGGTCTGATGACTTTCTGGGTGTTGAAAGTTTGATTGAAGTGCAGCTGGAGAAAAATTTTGTGATTCTGGACAGGGGTAGTATATTGATTAAGATAAATTAAGTGTATTTTGAATAATGCACATTTAATGTCATCCAATACACCCCCTCCAAAAAAACCCCCCCAAACAAAACAAAAAACAAAACAAACAAACAAACAGCAAACAAGAAGGCCAAGTGTTAGCTGGTTTGAATCAAGACAATTTTAGTCACTTTAACCAGCCGGATGAGAATCTGGTCTCAGAGTGACCTCAGCAAACACAACGAAACTTACTGTGTAATTGTCCTATGGGGTGTAATTTTACAAATAGCAGGACATGAATGTGTTGTTATTCTTTCAGCACAATGTGTCTGTGTTACACTATGTATGTTTGGGTGGGGAGGAAATCTAGACACTTCCAAGTTTCTTGGTACTGAGGGGACTCTTAAAGGAGAAGGGATAGGGGAAGAGAGAAGGCTCTGAAAAAACAATACAGAGGAAAGGGTTTGTTATAGCTGGGAAAAAGTAAAACTAATCAACAAGAACAACAACTATGCAAGCACTGGCTGAATCTGAGTCAGGGCACCAGGAGGGATCTGCAATCTTGGCAGTGCGTGGTTGACATTTCTACAACATATGTTGTTTGGTAAATGGCAGTGAAGTAGGTGTTGTGCTCAAGGTTTTATTTGCAGCTGGATCTGAATGCTTTTCTCCTTCCTCAGCAATTTAGGGGGGTTATATGGCATAGGGTTCAAGAAGTAACTTGTGGAATTAAAAGTCAGTACATAAATGAGGCATAACAATACAATTATGGTGCCTGAGTAGGAGGAGAGCTATTTCTAAAAAGCACATGTATTTTACTCTCTTTGGAATCCATATTGTTCATTTCACCGTGTGGAAGGAGGGCTCATTTCCTCATGCAGGCATCATCCAGAGAGATGAAACTCCCATGGAAGAGGAGATTGCTGGCTGGCGCCAAGGATCCTTCAGCCTTGCCGATGTTATGTACTTCTCCAAGAAGGGGTGCGAGGCAGTTGCAGAAGATGAAGTCACTCGGCGGTTCTCCTCTGAGGAGCTGGTGTCCTGGAACCTCCTCAGCAGAACCAATGCCAACTTGCACCGTGTCAGCTGGCAACTGACTGTTGTGTGGGTCATTGGGATCCTAATTCGGTATTGTCTCCTGCTGCCTTTTCGGTGAGCCAGGTGTAATTCGCTGGGATCTGCATTTCATGTTACTTTTTAAGGAATTTGTGAAATAATATGGCTTTTGTCTGTTTTCCAAGATGCCATCTAAACTCAAATATCCCTAAAAGAAAAAAAAGAGGTGCCGAAGATGTAAATTTTTCATGTTCCATATGTTTTATTAGTAATTAATTAATAGTAATTAATTTGTTTTTACAATCCAGCAAAACTATATACGAATGAACTGGATATCTTATTGTAAGGTAAAGTAACAATTGTTTCAACTGGAAGGATCAGGCTCTACTTGCCTAAGAGACAGGGAGACTGCGCACCGAACACGTGGGATTTGAAGCAAAGCCAGTGTTCACAGGGCACAGGGCTGAATGGAGGGGAAAAATAAGGCACCACTTAGAATGTATTAAATGTTCAGCATTCTAAAATTTTCTATTAAGCAAAGCCAACCTTTGTCGTATTGACCAAACCATTACAAATATTCGTGTGTTCTTGCAAAGAACAGGAGCTTTTAAAATTTCTTATTCGTTTGATGAGTGTGCAGTATACTTACAACCTTGATGCAGTGCATGAAGGAATTTTGTACCAGTCACATATGCACCAACACCAAGCACGTATGCCTGGCTGTAACCTTGGATATACAGCTTAAGAAGACAACATTTGTGTAGAAATGGCTTCAATTAACTGGTTGGGTCAGCCATTAGTAACCAAGGGAATTTAATTTTCATCCTTTTAGAGTGGAAATACATACCAAAATTTCTGGATAGGTTTTTTTAAAAATGAAATTCTGAGACCCTTTTGGCCCTGAGATATATCACCTGCATAAAAGAACACCAGCTACTACTTGCTGTTCTCTTTGAACACCATGGCTTCTTTACCCTGTGGCACCTTCAGATCAGAGTATGGTGCTTTTTGGAAGTTAGGCTCCAAGCAGCACAAGGTTTTGTAACCCGTGCAGGATTAACTGGGTGAAAACATGTGCTCATATTTTCCTGTTGGCCATAAGTGGTTTGTATTGCTAGTTAGATGCTATTGATGGTGGAGGGAAGCATTGAGAAATGGATCAAAGGGCCAAATAAAATGTTTTCTTGCTTATTCTTCCAGTTTTGCTTCTTAGCATTTAATTAAGATTATTTTACTTTGTAGCGTCTGCTTGTCTGTTTTCAACATCCTATTGCTGGTGTTGGCCACTACAGTAGTAGGACAATTTCCAAATGGCAGGTAGGTGTTTGCTGAGAGCTCCTCTGCTATCTTTTTCATTTCTTTAAGGATTTAAACTAGTAGTTGGAACACTCTGCTTGTGTCCAGAGGATTAATGTGGACTATCATGGGGTGAATTTTCTCTACTGTAAACTTACAGAGTGATATGAGAGAGAATATGGTAATGGCATCTGAAAGCAGACACGCAATGTAAGCCAGATAGGCAGTGCTGAAAGCATGTCTTAGAGTGTAAAAGAGAGTATGCTCTACTGAGTCAGAACAGGGCCATTAAATCACCTGTCCTGAGCAGTTCCATATTAATAGTTTGAGATTGTTGTGTCCTGTCACTGCAAGAAACTCAAACATGATTCACCAGCTAGGTAGTTCTATATTAAACTTATGTTAGTGAATGAGAAGAAATCTATAAAACAAAACCCTGTTATCTTCTCTGCTTTGAATCTGGTGGGTTTAGAATAGATTACAGCAAGAGAGTGGATCAAGAATATCTCTTATACCAATATGCTCCTTCTGCATGGCATTGTTAGTGCGATGAGCCCTCTTAGTACAGGCTTTGTAGTAACAGCTATTTGGAATAATCTGGAGAGTTCACATTGCAGTGTTCTATGCCTGACTACATAGAAGTGGAAATGTATGTATGGCTTCATTTCTTTTAGAGTTAAAGGCTGGTTGAGCAACCAGGTTCAGATGATATGTGCCACACTAGGTGTCCGAAGTCTGAGTGGTCTTGTTCATTTCCACAACAGGTGAGTGGTGCCAACCTGCTCTCAGTGGTTTGGTGTTGGTTCTTACAGTACTTAATGTCTCAGGTTTCAGAGAAGGATTCTTATTCCATTACTGCATGAATACTATGATGGCATAATTTATCCAAAAAGCTGTCTGGATCATCTAGACTCTGTCAGGATGTTTGCACGCCCTATTGTGTCTTCTGTTGTGTAGTGGCAGTGTATGTGTAGGTGAAGTAGTACTGCATTCCTGGTTAAATAGACACTTAGGCATTTTTCAATGTTTGCCATGAACTTGTTTTAATCACATGCAAAAATATTGCCATAAAATGTTCAGCTGTCCCAGTAGCCAATTTGTGTAGTAACTGTGCTCTCTCCTGAAGAAAGTTATGGGTGGTATTTTGGTAAATCTTTGCAGTGTCTTGCTTGCTTAATGGTGTGCTTTATGTAATGAAGGCTTCTGAAATATCTTGTTTGTGCTTCAGAAAGAAAAGCAAAATCATGCTCCAGCATCTTCGCTTTTAGAATTTTGCTGTCCAAATATTCTTTGATAAGTGCCTCTGTGAAGGGTAATATATGCAGCTAAAATGCATATCCAGGGAAATCTCATATTTTCAGCTAAAAGGAAACTGGTTTTGGCGAAATGCCAGAACTGCTGAAATCTGAAGGGACTCTTGAAAGTATGAGGAAAGATGACTTATCTGCTGTAATGTACCATCAGAAATTTTAACATTTATGTTGTAATACTAGTATTTAAAAATGTTTTGTGTTCTCTCACTTCCTATGGATTTGCAGATAAGCCGTGGGCCTGAAATGTTTTTGTCACTCAGTCTTGATTGGGCATGTATGCTTGCTGGATGGATCACCTGTAGTCTGGAGAATAAATGTTTAATAATTACCTTTATGGTTGTCATTGCAGGGAAAACAGACCACAGCAAGGAGGCATCTGTGTAGCCAACCACACATCTCCATTAGATGTCCTAATCCTGGCCAGTGATGGATGCTATTCCTTGGTATGAACAAGAGAGTTGGTAAATATCAGTAATGCTGAGATGCCTGTGTTGGGTAAGAGAATAAACTGGTAGAAAGAGGGGGATTTGATAGCATTCAAACTCGCCTTTTTGACTGCAAAAAAGTATGCGCAGGCAAGTTTGTTTGCATTTATGACCTAGAGATTTGGTATAATTTGTGAAAAAGCTTAGAAACAGATGCATCTGTGTTTAGCATTTTATCCTTAAGTGTGGGTGTGTTTGTATAGTAACAAGTTTGTTTTGCAGGTTGGCCAGGTGCATGGAGGGCTTATAGGACTTATTCAGAAGTCTTGCATGAAGACCTCTCAGCATGTCTTATTTGAACGCTCGGAAATGAAAGACCGTCATCTGGTGAGGAAAAAGTAAGGTAGTGTGAGGTGTTTGCTTAATTGTCTGGTCAGGTCTAATAACTGTGAGGTCCATGAGTGAGCTGAGGCTGCTCTTACCCTGCATCTCTCCTTGGTGGGCAGCTGTATGTTGTCATCAGTGCAAGGTTTGGAACTGCTCCATCAGAGATAGTGCAGGGTATAGCAATCATCTATTAGATGGTCTTTAAGGTCCCTTCCAGCCCAAACTATTCTAATCATTCTACTCCATGTTTGATCACTTGCCATGTAACCTCTGGGAATTTCCACATTGCTAGAACTTCCCTGTCTGCCACAGGCAGGACCCTGTTCGTTCAGTTTTGAGGCTTTGATTTTGGATGTCAGGACAGAAACCAGAGTTCTATCTGCACTCCTGCTTCATAGATCATGGCTTGTATTGGTACCTTTACTCACCAGCTCTGAGCAACAAAGCTGGCTGTATCTGCTGTGATCACAGGATAAAGGGAGAGTGATTGCAGCTGCTAGAAGCTGGAAGAGCACCTTGAGTAGTGTCATAAAAGTTTTGCTTAATGCCTATATTGCTCTCCAGACATGCAATATTGATTCCTGGCAGAGACAGCAGGCTGGACTTTAAGGACATAACCGGGATTGACTCAGTATGACAGTTCTTATAGAATCAGGTGTTTACAGAGACTGTTCTTAATCATCCTAAATCTTCATGAAAAAGGGTGCAATACAGCTAACATTAAGTACCTATGACAGTTTTGTCCTTAAAAAATTGGAAAGGGTTCCCTGTGCTACATCATTATCTTTTTATTTTATTTTATTTTATATGATATTTTGCTTTTGTTGTTTTAATGCAGACTGGAGAGGAGCTGCATGCTTTTGAGTCACAGTAAAGATGGGTGTGTTGGAAAACAACAGATTTTGGTGCCAGTAATCTGCTTAGCGGTGATACATTTGATTTTAAGTGATGCAGCTAATCTAGTAAGATAGTGGCCTGTCACTTGACTAGATGTGGAGAATTATTAGGTACATGTAAAACTGATGCTATGTACCTAGAAGGCATGAAAACTAGAAATATGGAATATACTTCAGTCATGTTTGACTGTGTTAATAGCTGAAACCTGGGAAGTTATTTTCTCACACTTCAAGTACCCCCATTTTCTATCTTCGTGTTAACTGGGTTAAAATGGTAAAATGAAACTTCATACAGTTTTCTAAAAAGTGTGCTTTTGTAAATAGCAAGACATAGTTTTAGGCCTGTGTCTCACTATCACAAGTCCTGGCTGAGGCTACTGCCTGGCAAAAGACAACAGGGCAAGGACTTTTCTTCTCCTGTGTAAGAGGTAATGGATGTTTAGATGCTCGGACAAATATAAATATGAAATATACACTGAAATTTTATTTTTTCTCCACAGAATTAGAGAACACATTGCAGATAAGGCCAAATTACCCATTTTAATTTTCCCAGAAGGTAGGAAACCACTATATTGATTTTATTGCTCTTCTCACTTCTTGCCACTGAGTGCAGTTTATTACATCCAGTCTTTACAAGTGAGGTGTTTGTTTTTAGTTTGTAAAATTAATTAGCTCTTGTGAGATATTAAAAGTCAGGTTCTAGTATCTTATAACAGTTTATGACCAGTCTATTTGCTTCAGCATATAATACAATGGAATAGAGTACAGGCTCTGGGATTATGTTCCAGGACTAAAGCTTACTTTTTCCTTTGGCAACTTAAGTCTCCTTAAGAGAGTTTAGGATTCATTTGCTGATACTTTTCTCAGAATGGATTAAGCTCTTCATCTTAATTCTGGACAGGTACCTGCATTAACAACACATCAGTAATGATGTTTAAGAAGGGAAGCTTTGAGGTAGGAGGGACCATCCATCCAGTAGCAATCAAGGTAATGTAACTGCAGTTTTCCAGATGTGGATGGACTGTTTGCAAAAGCTTCTCATGTCAGAGAAGGTGTTCATGTTCAAACCTTATAAAGGAGCTTGTTTGGTGTGAATGAGGTACTGAGAAAATGAAAACTTGGTGGCTTGCAATGTTCAGTTCCGTATGGGAAATGTTTCATTGGGTATCTTTGCAACTGGCTAGGAGCAACCTGAAAAACACAGTGGCACTTGCCATGCTGTGTGTTCAGTTCTGCTTGCTCTTTCTGTCCTAGGGCTCCTGGCTCTTGTGAGCCCTGAGGATAAAGGCACTTTACTTAGCACTTCCAAGTCTTTCTGAATAGCTTTAGCCAAGTTGCCCTCAGTCTGCCCTAGATATGTTACTTACTTTTTCTGGAACCTCATCTTTCTTGCCTAATCTTAAGGAAATCATTAAAACTGGTGTGAACATTTTTCATTAAATCTTCATAGTCAGCATATCTGTAGATGAAAAGTCTTTACATTTCGAGTAAATTTCTTGTTACAGTTTTGTTTCAATTGGTCTGTCAAAGTTTGGGGTCCTGCATTGCTTGTAAATGAAAAATGTTAGAAAATTGTGATAAATGTTGGATCTTTACTCTGAATTTACTGATGCTTTTAAGAGGTGTGAATAGATTTGCCCCTTTTTAATAAGTTGAACTGTGACTTTGTGGCCAAAAAAAAAAAAAGCAGCTTATGTGATTTAAACTAAGGTAGCAGATCATGCCCTTGTGCTTATTCTTCTTGTCTTCCAGTATGACCCCCGCTTTGGAGATGCCTTCTGGAACAGCACAAAGCATTCTATGATGACCTATGCTTTCAATGTGTTGACCAGCTGGGCTATTGTCTGTAATGTGTGGTACCTGCCACCGATGGTCCAAGAAGTACTTACGCTTTTTTTTTTTTTTTTAAAGTGCTTGTAAAATGTTGTCTGTGTTACTATGCACAGTGTTTGTGAACCTTTGCTGATAACTTAATGGACTAAGACCAGAAAGCAACACTACAGTCTTAAAATTGAGCATGGATGTGGGTTAGTTATCTTCAAGTAAAAACTAATCTTGAAGAAATTCAGACATTCCTGGACCGTACTCCCTATTATTGCTAAAACCTTTACTTGAGTGCAGATGTAGTTTCTTTCTTCTGATCCCTGAAACTAGAAGAGACATAGGTTTATGCTGCTGGAGCCCTGCCCCTCAGTCTGGCATAGACCTCCTGTTTTTGCTTTAGAAGTGATACATAGATTCAGGCCTTCTCTTCACTCCATACAGGGTCGCTTCTGCCTTCGTATCCCCCCTGCCAACAGCACCTTCCCACAACCCTGTTCTCTGTAACAACTTCCTCCCACCACCTTGTTTCTCAGCCCTGCAGCATATCCAGCTAATCCTTTGCCCAGCAGCTTTACCCCAAAACTTGGCAGAGCCTCTCAGCCCACTGCACTCTATACCACCAGTTTAGTATTGCCTACTGTGGTCTTTCCTTAGCCCTAATTTTGGGAGGGAAGGTGCTGTAATACATGTATCTTCAGTCCTCTGAAGTTTGGGCAAACTCCTGTGAGCTCACAGTAATCTGAATGCACCAGGCTCAACCCTGTTCAAGAACCCTCCCTCCTGCGAGGGTGATCCTGTCGGTGGGTTTCCCTTACTAAAGTACTGGGAGCAGACACATCCCTTGCTCTGGCCAGACCTGTGACCTCACGCTGTGTGTTGTTTGAGATTGCCCCAGAAACCAGAGAGCCTCCCACTTAGTTCTTTTTGGCACTGACTGGTGAACAGACCGGGCAGCATTCCCCAGGATCAGCTTGAACTGCCCTGCAAGTGATATCTGGCCTGTGGGTCTGGAAGTGGCTGCTGTCTGACAAAATGTCTTTAACTGAGGCACAGAGAAAATGTTTATGTTGTGAAGCAAATAACTGATATATTTTTCAGGAAGAAGAAGATGCTGTTCACTTTGCCAACAGAGTCAAGGCTGTCATTGCTGCTCAGGGAGGAATGTCTGTGCTTCCTTGGTAAGAAGCAACACCTCTGAGATTGCGTTTAAAACTTTTTTAGGTGTTCTGTATTCTGAAACATTAGCCTGGAATCCTTTAAAACTTCTTCCAGATTTGCTTTGCTTGCACTGTAGTCCATCACCCTTACTGAGTCTGTCAGAAAATATTCCTTGAGCAATTCCATCAGAGTAGATAAAATAATACAGTATATAGAGAGAAACAGAGCTGACAGGTGGATCTAGCCAGCAGGCAGTATTAGGTGAAAATTAATTATTTGCCTGTTAAATGCTGGGTTAAAGAAACGGCATTGTTGTGTGGGAAGACTTGGCAGTACAGATCATTTAGCATTATTTTGCAAAGTCCAAATTAAGTGAAAACTGCTTTGACTACACAGTCTAAATATTGCAATGTTTTTCTGCCTTGACCCTGAAGTGAGCTCAAGGGTTGTAGTAGTTTTAAGAACCATCACAAGGGTGTTTCTTTTCTGTATCTTTCAGGGATGGGGGACTAAAAAGGAAAAAGGTCAAAGAGTCTTTCAAGGAAGAGCAACAGAAAAAATATTGCCAGATAGTAATAGAAAATGGATCTGTGGGAAACGGAAATGTTTGTTAAATGGTATTTATTTTCCATGACTTACCACCACCGGAAAAGAGACTGGTTTTTATATGAAACCAAATATGTTTTCCTTCTGTTCCTGTAAGATATTTTGCATATGACACAGCAGGGAAACCATACAGAGATATCCTTATTTGATGCAAAAGACTCTAATTTTATAAATAGGAAAATATACAGTCTACATGTAAAATTCTCTCCAATGCTGAGTGAGAAAAATTGGCAATAAAATTACTTAGGCTCATTAAAACACCATTTTTAAAACATTTGCAATACCTTGAGGATTAAATGGTTACCTTTTAGCTTCTAATAAAACAGCTCTGTACTCCTAGCCTGTCTCAGTGACTTGGACTAGCAGTGTTCCTGTCAGCCACAGTAACCATGTTGCTGTAGAGAGAGCGCTCCTCATGTCAGGAGACATTAGGAAGTTCACCAAAGTATGTTTTCCAAATTGCATGTTGGAGAGGAAGTGTTGGATGTCAGAGGGAAAAAACCTCTGACTTTCCCTTCCATGTCGCAAGACCAGGGACAGCAATGCAGAAAGTTTTCTGCTCTGACAAAGAGCAGAGCAGTGTCCAGGGCAGCATGTCCTTGATGCCTGGGTGTGTGATGCTGAGGTAAATTAGTCATAGCCAAGGACAGCATCAAACAAAATATATTGTGGTTTTAAATTATATTTTATCTTCTGGTTTTGTTATGTCCCTTTCTGTGTCTTTTTGTATGCATTATACAAATTAAAGAAAACATTTGATGTGATATCCATTGTCCTCTGTTGTCATTATTTCTGGAGAGTCACCTGCTTATGTTAGCATTTGATGCGAGGGCTAAGGATTTGCTCTCTGACAAGCCCGCCCTCTAGAAATAAATAGAACAACTTCACTTAAGAAGTATGAGATGGAAATATTTCTGTCACTTACCATATTTATTAGTATAAAATATTTTTTCTCCTGGTAAGTAGGTCCCATATGGAAGGATCTGGCTCCTTAAATGATCTGAATACCCCTAATGAAACAAATAGGTGTTATTTTGCCCAAGGTGTTCTGTGACAGAGATGCTGGTAAGGAGAGTTAATAAGGTTGATCACAAACCCACCCTGCAGAGGCACAGATGCACAGGTACAACTCTGCCCAGCTCTGGAAAGTCTAGAAAACTAATATTCAGAGGAGGGGCTAACAGAGGTGATAACTGCCCTGAAGCTGCATGGCACAGAAGTAGCGTGGAACTGAGCTCTCCTCTTCTGTGGCCAGTCCGGGCTTTGCTACAGGTACATGAATTCTTTTGGTGGATCAGTCAGTCCAAATTTTGGTGTCATAGACCAGCAGTAGAAGAAACTTCCCTTCTACAAAGCTTTTAGCCACCCAGGTAGGGAGACTGCTAACAGTATGGCTACAGAGGAGAATTGCCTCAGGCTCTTCTGCTGTGAAAGAGGGCTACTGGCTCCTGACTGTAGTAAACTGCACTTCCATGGCTGCTGAAGCTCCTGATTTATTTTCTAGGTATAAAAATGTGAAGAAATGTGGTAGACAATACTGATAACTGTTAAATCTCTTCAGTGTGCCAGAATTTAGATATTTTCTTTCTGTGTGACTGATATCTGAAAGTCACTAACAGAGGCTGCAGTAAAAGAAGTGTGGGGACCATCCTTCTGACACTACTGTGTGCTTTCTTCCTGCTTGGAGGTAAAAGGGGAAACTGAGTAAGCAAAAAAAGGGGGCAGAGTCAGGAAAATATGGGGAGATAAAACTGTTGGAAGAGACATTTTCTAATCTGGATTCTGTTTCTGTAAGAAATTAGGAGATGATGTGCCTTTTTTCCCAGCCTGCTACACTTCCCCAGCTAACCAAGAGAAGAGGAGGCTTTGAACATGTGATCCTCATTATGGCTATAACTCTTAAGTCTTGTAAAAATAGAGCTCAGACCTCTGAAGGTATGAGTATTACATGTCACCTGTGGGAGGATGGTGGGACTGTCAGTATTTCCTCTGCCATTTTTTGGCTGTTTTGACAAAAGAAGCTGAAAACTCTGTGAAGTAGGTACATACATATAGAATATAGAAATGTAAAGCAAGTGATGAACACAAGATCTTCTTAATGATGAATGAAGTGTGCTTTGGTAGGTTGCCAAAAATTGCCAGAAATGGCAACCTAACTTGAAACAGAGACTATTTTGTCTTGTCCTGCTTTAAAGAATTGTTTCTGGTTTTTAGTGGTGCTTTCTTTATCTACCTTCCACCTCCTCCATTCTTTTGAAATGCAAATGAAATATAGAATATATCAGCATCGGCCTTAGCAAATACTTTTACCTGAAATTGTATACTGCCCTTAGAGTGACAAGGTTATGGAGGAATTGATTACTATCCAAAAGGACATCACAGATAAGTGTGTCTTACTCTTCCAGCAGGAGGGCATGGTAACAGTAAAATCATACCCTCTTGCTATGTGGGTGAGTTAGAGACAGAGAGTTGAAGATAGCTGCTGTTTCTAACTTTTAGAGACATCACTGTTTGATCAGCTGTGTTGATGGAAAACCAGATATATTTAAAAAACTCCTCCTTTAGGTCCTTAATAACACTCAGGCAGCATGGTCAAGGTGCCGTGCAGAATCTTTGTGCATAGTGTGGGTTCTAGGGTGGCTCTGGACCTTAAGCCACTTGGGTGCTATCCTGTTTCAGGTTGGAGCTGTGTTCCCTGTATTTAGAGTCCTGAAGCCTTGAATAAGTAAGGGAACCTGACAAAATCCCATAAAGGTTGGTTCATTGTGTGTAACATGCCTCTCCTTCCTTAGGCAGGCTTCCAAAATCACAGCTTGAAAAGGAGTCCTCTGAAAACATACTTTTAAATGTTTGCATTGCTGTTACCTAATTTTTCCTTGGTTGGGACTAGAAATTGTAAAGAAGAGTTATGTTTTGACCCCTTTACACTAAATCTGCAGATGGAAATAGCTTCAACATCTAGCTCATTTCTGGCTTTTCATCTCTGGATTTATGAGAGATTATTTGGATGTTACCCCTATTCATGTTTAAAGTATATTGTGCTGCCTGCTGCAACGGTAAAGTAACCTGAAACAGATGGTAATTATGCAGCATTAAGCAGTGTAAGGTGAATTTCTGTGTAAATGACCACCATTGCCTTAATCTATTTGAGTCAGTTTTTTAGGAAGGTTCTCTAAATTTCCTGGGCCTCTGGGAAAGTATTTGACTGAAGCACAAGATGGGACCAGGAGTTTTGAGGTCTCTTTTTATATATATTTACATATAAATATTTTTCTGCCTATACACACACAGAGTATGTATATAAAGGGACAGCCAAGTGCCGTCTATGTATTAGGAGCATAGTGTGGACATGAGAAACATGAGTTACTTGTAACAATAGAAATGTTGTGGATTATTGGAAGATGTAGTATTAAGCAACTTGATGGCGTCTTGTACTGTGTGACAACTGAATAGAAGTCGGCTAAAACGTGTGATAATCTTTCACTGTAATGTACTTCCATGTTAACAATGATTGATGTAGCTCGAGTCCTTAATTCCCTTAGTTACAAACGTGTTTTTCTAAAGCTGTGTCTTACCTTGGGAACGTCTGAAACGCCCATCTCCCTCCGACTTCTGCTGACCGGCTCTGGGTTAGCGGGCACCTCCGTTTCCCGGCTGAAGGTGCGTTCCCGTGACGGCACCACGAGCATTAGAAGAGATGGGCAGCGAGGGCCATCTGGTGGCGTCCAGTCACTGGTAGCGAACTCCGCCTTCCACAGCCTCCTCGCCCTGAATTCCCCTCAATGAGCCTGTTATTTCTCCTACATTTCCATGAAACCATGAAAACGTAGCAACGATGCTGTGTACCCCCAAGACGGGATCTTTGATTACTGTTCGTGGTTTAAAACCAGCAAAGCTTGTGCTCGTTCGAAGTTTCAGCAGCCTGTGTTGTGTGAGGTTTCCCCAGGTCATTTCTACTCTGTGACAAACTAAAATCAGAACTACTGTCCTTCATTCAAAATCAGGTATGAGTCTGACCCCATGGCTTTTATTTTTATTTTAAAGCTCAGTAGGGGCAACAAACCTGGGATGTTCCTGAAGACAGTAGGACATTTCGATTTGCTGTGATGAGTTTCTTTGGTCCCTTGATGCAGTTTGCTCCTGATCTGAGACTAGTGATACTTTCAGCAGAAAACAAGTTTTCAGGATAATAAGGGAGATGTTCCGAACTTGTTTCCTACCAGCATCCATTTTCTCGAGCTGTAGTGAGAACAGCAGTTAGTGCCAAATTTAACAACCCAGCATTTCACTCAAACTCTTTCATGTGCAGCTTGCCATGAAACCAAACAAGGAAAGCAGCCTAGGCAGCTCCTCCCCTCATGTTTGGTTTTAGCCTCAAGGAACATATTTTGCTTACATGTGCAGTCTGAGGCCTGATTTCAAGTAGGCCAATGGAGATAGGTCACAGATATATTACGGATGAGACCTCTTGCCTTTTCTATCCTCTCTGTGGGATTTGCTTTTGGAAATGTTTGTGCTGAGGTGTTGTTCAGGCTCTTTTGAGCATGTTTCCCAGCTGTAGTGCAAACTGCAGAGATGACCTGCGAAGGGTTCACAGGTTCATTTGGTTTTGGAAAAGTAGGCTTAGAAGTTAGTGGACATACAGTAGAGACAGAGACCTTACTGGGTCTTTACCTTTTTATTGTTTTTGTTGTACACACAAGGAAGGACCCTAGCTTTGTAGCCATTTCTCCTCTTCCCTCTTCCTCTATTTATTATTCTGTTTAATGATGGCTCCTCAATTAGTGTACCAGACTCCTCTGTGAGCAGAGTTCATCGTGATCAATTGTCATCAAGGCTAGCGTTTGGTACATCCAATCAATGCTGTTCTATATAATGGCAGTGGTATTGACTGATTTCTAATTTTACAGTATGTTGAGCCCTGTTGAACTCTTTTAATATGATAATTGCTTTACTAATCAGTAGTCATGATTTGTGTGCAACAGCAGATTATTGGCATCAGTAGATATCCCTTGGTATTTCTATTTGATTCTATCAAAGATGCATGTGGTGAAAGATGTTTACCCTATCTAAACTGTGGATATTAACCAGAGTAATAGTGGGGAAAATACTAATATTCTTGCATATGAGCTTTTAAGAACTGGGTTATTAAATAATTTGGAAAGGTTTATTTCTTCTTTTTATTAGGGATAGTTATCAATAAGTACCTTTTAAGTTTATACAGACAGCTGTTAAACAGCCTGGTTTGTAACTATGCCATAAGCACTCATTAGTTTGTATGTTCAATATTGTGTTTATTAATTATGTAAGTTTTTTAAAAAAATTGCTATGAGCAGTCTACTCATCTAATTTATAACTTCACATAAGATCTAAGTATGCACACACACATTCAGTAAAATAATCTGTATGTTATACTTCAAATACCCAGTCAGCCTTGCGTTTTATATAATTTTCTAAAATACCCCTACAAGGTATTATATGGAAGGGTATCTATATAAAAATTACATTTCTGTTAGAAAGCTGAGACTGATTTCTATCCAGATGTCTCAAACATTTGGGTTTCTAAGTTATTCTTTGCATGTTGCACCCTCCCCCTTTGCATTGTACGGGTAACACGGGGATCTGATGGATGCATTGAGCACATGCATTATTACACTGCGTGGTGGAACCAGGAGGTGGCACCCCTGTATGCGTGTCTAACACTGCCATGA